TCCTCAACAAGAGAAATGCAACCAATTATTCTCTTCTGTTTCACATTCACCACTATACACCGCATAATAAGGCAAGACACTACTATCAATTAATTGAATGAATCATTACCAGACTTCGTGCCATAGTGAAAATTCAACGTAGTGATGCACTGGATTTGCAATAAATAAATTAATTAATTAATAATAACAATACAAAAAATTGAGCAAACCAAATTTTTCATTTCTGTTGAACTGAATACGTTTTCAATTTGCTTCATGAAAATGCCAATTTTTTCAGGCCTATTAGTATTCCTTGTGTGCGAATGCTTTGAGGAGTTCGATTTTGGTGTTTTGTTCTTGATAGCGGCTAGCTGAGGAGGTTTTGAGGTGGTGGTTGTCTTAAATGGAAGTAAATTTATGCAGAAGTTTCGTACTACAGCAAATTTTTGAGTACATCTTTAGAAAACAATAATTATATCGAGAGTAATGATGATTGAATGTAAAGTAGCACCTTATGGAATGCAAGCAGCCTGTTACAAAGTTTTATCATAGAAATAAATGAAAAACCCAGATTGTCTGATTACTCCGAACCGATATTCATCTCTCTCTATTCATTTCGATGCAAATTGGAGACGAGTACGAAAACTAATCGAGTCTTGCAACATGGATTCGGCATTACTTCCAACTACTTACCCAGAATGTGCACATTAAATCAAATGAAGTGAACAGAAATACCTTCCTGCTGAAAAGTCCGGCACGACAAAGTCCCCTCACGCATACACCTTCATAACACGCATCCTCATTTTCAAAGCCGTTGCATCTGCCATTCACTCGTATTTTCGATACGCAACGCCAATGATTACTTCGCTTATTTCTCGAACAAAACAAATACGGTGATCCACAATCGCCCTCCTTCGAGCACGTTGGTCTTTCCGCATACGTATACATGTTATCCGTATAAGCATTCGAAAGGCCTGTTCGTTCAATTTGTCTGACATTATTACTTAAATATCCGTTCTTCTGATTATCTAATGCAGTGGTTTTCCACCTTTTTTTTCGAGAAACTCGCCCAACTCGACTATGACTGCTCTCAAATCGCTTCTTCTGCTTCCAAAAGCATCAATATTTAGTAGGTTTTTTTAATCGAAAATAGCACTGAAAAATTTTTCTGCTTACTCAAAATTGCGTCATCTAGATGCACTGCTTACTCATTGATAGGCGATAACACGGTGAGAATTTTTCCTCTGCATTCATCTAATAATCACTAATCAATCTTTCATTAGCAATGGTTAATTAATAAGTTTACAGTGAACACCTTGTATGTTGAACTTGTTGAACGGTCGCATTAACGCATTTGAAAAGTGTTCCCTACTTGAGCACTGGGCAACGTTCTGAGGAAATTGCTGAAAAAAACACGATGAAAATCAATTGTACTGGTGGAATGGCACTGGTGTTGATGAGAGCAGCAAATAGGAATGAAAGTGATGAGTGAAGTAATAACAGTGCAACGAATGAACCAACCGATTCACGACTGCCTCTGTTTTGCCGTCGTTGTCGCCATAACTCAAAGATACAGTCGATAAACGAATGATGAAAATAAAAGACGGGATCATTGGCTGAAGTCACCGGAGGTTTCATATCGCCGCCAATCCATAAATGCACACTCGCGTGAATATATTCTAATGCTCGAAAATTCGTCCTGTACGGACATCCTTCAATGACAGTCATTTATTCACTATTCACTCATTTACTCCTTACGTTAAATCATTCAAGTGTTATGTGCTGCTTCACTATTCGTCATGATCATTACAGTGTTCACTGTCAAATATGAAAATATTCATTCAAAGTATCAGAGTTCAGTCATTTCATTGCGTATAATGAACATGAATTGAAAAACTATAGGTGAATTGGTTGCGAAGGAAAGTAATATGAAAAACGAAGTAAATGAGAGTTGATAATGTCTTTTTTTTGAACAAATTAACGGTTCAAAAAGTCGAAATAGAAACCTCTTTCGGGTGCAGTATAGGCGAGTACTTGGTGAATTGCTGTTTGAGAGAGAACATCATTTATTGCGCCTTCCGTTAGCAAACGACCGTCTTTTGCAAGATCTCTGAAAATACAACAGATACGAAGTTGAAGGTCAATTACGATGAGAGTATCAATCGCAGTTTGATCGTTATCAAACGTTTTAAGCTGAATAAAAGGTATTACAAGGCAGCAGTAGCCTTCAATACCATTGGGAAGCCAAATAAATGAGCAACACTGAATTAGGGAAGGTGTCTGGTGTGAAACTGCATTGGAGTAGCAAAAAAGATATGTGAACTATCGACAAAGTTATGTAAGTTCAAGTTTAAGAATTTTCAAAGTTCGGTTTGGAATCCATTCCTTCGAGCAGCGCTAAAGGAAAGAGTTGAATAAAGGAGAACAACCGTTGAATGTGCGTGTGTCCTTCAAGGGTGTTGAATCTAGCGAATGGGCCGTTCATAATATCACCGTACATGTCGGTCGCACCAAAAAACAGCGGAGTCCACAAAATGGAATCTTGTGGATTTGGTAGGTGACTGTCAAGCGACGAATCCCAATAAGGTATTGATAAGGACGGATCAATAGCGCGAATTGCGATTTCGGCTCTCAATTCGATTATATTGGTTATTTGATCTGATTTTTTTTTNCAGTGTGGATCATCTATACATATCGGATCAATCGTTCAGTCAGTTCAATATCAATTAAGCAATCAATTTTGTAATGTTTCATTCATTAGAATTCATTAAATTTAAGTGAACCATTCATTGAACAGATCCACGTTCAGTAGATTCATGTTTACCAATAAATTAATAACTTCCGAATGAAACGAATTTCTATGAATTATTTCTGGGAAGTGAATATTTCAGAGTGAATATTATGTTTTCATTTTGTTCAATAATCGTATGAACCTCTTCAGGAATTCTCGATGCCACGGTAAGAAAGCAGGTCCTGAATGTGCTCCACTGTCTTCTCCAGCCTGAAATATTTAGGCAGTCTGAAAGACATGATTCAACTCAGCATTGCTTTTGATTAATGTGTGTGTGCATCATGCAATGGTAAACTTAATGTATCGAAAGAAAATGTGATTTGAAGAGATATTAAACGCATTTCGACAGTCGCGTTATTATCACTTTCCATATTTTCATCGTCAGTGAAAACGACGTGAATGCCAATTAAATGAACTGTGTTTTTAGTTGACATTGATCATCAAAATTAATTTGGTGTGATCACGTTAAATGTTTAGTGTTCAATGTAATAATAATTACTGTCATTGCAATAAGAGTAAAATCGAAATTGGGTTATTGAAGCAATAAACGAACCGTTCCTTTCACTTATTCAAAAAGTTTTACAGCGAACGTCGACGTTTAAATATGCGTTTTTAAGTGTTCGTAAAAT